TAATACGATGGCCCTGGCCATCGTCATGGGACCGGATCGGCGTTGTTCGCGCAGTTGTCGAGCCACGCTCCCTATTATACGTCGAGTCGAGCTGGTGGGAACCGCCGCGTAAACGAGTTACATCGTTACCACCACGAGCTGGCCAATTGTAATATTTACTGGACACTGGAGGGAAGGTGTCGTGTAATCCGATTCGGCTCGAAACGACTCGTGATTAAGAGAAATCGTACGAGACGGTATTCGAGGAGAAATTTTTGAAACGGGGTGGAATATTTGTGGTTTCTCGTGCGTGAAGAAAGTATGGTAAATATTTGGTGCAATTATTTTAACCTGGAAACAAATATGTAAGATGATTTTATTAGGTAAGACGGTGAGTTTTTTTCTTTACCAGAGAAACTTCAATGTAAATTATTATTGGAGGGATAACTGCGAAGCTTTGATGTTTCGCAATTAAAATTACCTATGAAATATTTATTACGTTTCTTTTTTGAGACTTTTTTTTTTTTTGCTTTTTTAATACAAATCACCGATTTACTTTTGCGTAATTATCGCAAAAGTTAATTAGAATCGCAAAGTATCCTGCGTGGACGGAACGAAACGAATTATTTGAACGAGATATCATACGATCAAATATCGAAATTGTTCTATAACTCGAATATAATTCACCCGATGGCATCGATAGCTTTAATACCGAAACATATCCCTTGGTAACGTAATATTCTAATATTTACCAATCACGTTCAATAATTGGACGCAAGTTTGAACAAACAGATCTACCATAAAACGAATCTTCATTCGCATCAAAGAACCGGCGATTTAAATTGCTTCTATCGCGTAAACCGACCCATCCATAAATATCGTCCATACCACTTGCCAATCCAATCGAGAATCACATTTTTCCATTTTTTCCCTTTTTTTTTTTTTTTTTTTTTTTTAATTCGACGTCACCCGACGAAAAGCCTCGTCGAAGAATCAGCTACGTCGAAGAAATCGCGCGAGTATCACACTCAGTTAATTATAATATTTATCGTATGCACGTTTAACCCGGGAGCATCTTGCTAATTATACACGCGGCGACATCAGAGACTGGCTAATATGCCGGTGTATGGCGGTCCGGTAAAATAGTGGGACGGTGCACGGTGCGTGGGGTGGTGTACGTGCACGCCAGGACACGTGTGTGCGCGGGGGTGGAAGAGAACACGCGCGTGTACTGCACTCGGTGCCCGATCGTTTAATATTTCAGGGTCGCTGCCAGCACCACCACCACCACCACCATCACCACCAGGTTTTAGCGATACACAATCTATCGCACGCGTTGCCGATTCCCATGAGTTTATTGAAACAGCGACGAACGTGTATACTCGAAAAGCCTCGTACTCTTCCCTTGCGAATAATGCATCCCACACCGCACGATGCCGCTACGTTTCGCGAGCCTTCCTTCCCTCCAATTGCCCGTGAAAAATGTACAGGGCATTTCCACTGCTCCGTTCCCGTCCCGACGACGTAGTGTCGGCGCGAAATCATGACGATCCAAGATTTTCATGGCATGGCACGTCGTCTCGTCGAGCTCACAACACAGTTCCCCGCGATAAATTCGCCGCCATGAAATTTCCACGATGCCTTTACGATCCGTTCTTTTCGCTCGCTCCTTCCTTCGCGTAACTATTAGAAGAGTTCCTGAGCCGATTCGTCTCGTTTCAATGACGGGGTAAGATTCTAGAATTTATGGACCAGTTATGTTATTATTAAGCGGTGTACGGGAGAATCTATAGAACGAGGCAAATTTCTATTACGCTTCTCTGGTTGGAGACAAGATTATAAAAATTAATTTTGAATACAAATTTGCATAGTTACGTTACGAGGTTTTTTATTAACTTCAACAGAGAGATTTCTCTTGTTTCTGTTCTATGTATATGACATGATTTCTTATCCAATAAATTAACGATCCTGGGATCAACTTTTCCATCGCGCGAGCAATATTCGTTTTTAACAGTCGAACTAGTTACTAGGAACTCCATGATTCAGCCGCAATGTCAAGATAAGAGAATAAGAAAAATTGACGAACGTCTCCTATAATTAGGAGACGCAGTCTCGAGCACAGTAACTTAGGAGAAAGGAGAGGTCTCGCCTCGTATTGCTTCACTTTCGCGCTAGGTGGTCCGACGAGTGGGGCACGAAGAAGAACGCGAAGAGAGCATCACGCTTGTTAGGAGAACGGACTTCCACCGGCTAATTGGTATTCCAGCGGCGAGAAGTGTCAGCCTTTTGACTGATTCTATTTCGAGTAGGTTGCGCCCTTTTCCACCGGTTTCCACGGTGTTTACACTGCGGAGGGAATCGTAAGACGGCAAAGTGGCTGACCAACGCCGAGGTCCACCGACAATGCGCCGCATCTCGAGGGCCTTGAATCCTCTCAGACCGGTTCCATCCACCGGGGATTTTCTGGCCGTCTAATCGGTCACCGGGCATCGCTGTCCTCGCGCCTCGGACAGTTCTTCGCGCTCGTGAGTTGTCGTGAAACGGGTTGTCTCTTCTTATAGAACCCGTCGTCCTCTCTTCCTCGTCTCTTCTCTTCCACTATCCTCCTCTTCCCACTCTCTCTCTCTCTCTCTCTCTCTCTCTCTTTGATCTATTCTCGACCGGACGTGATGGCGCGTTCATTTTTAACGCGTCGAGGCTTCGCACTTTCTCGAGTGGAACTCGCGTTTCTCCTCGAATCTTCGTATCTCGCGAACGTTCACCTCTCGATTCGAAGGAACAAACGAGGAAGATGGTTTGGCTCGATCTTATACACGCGCGACCCGGTCGCCTTTTAGACCCGTGTCATCCGTCCCTCGGCAGGCTGTCGACGTAATCACCCCTATCCTCCGGTTCTCCAGCGAAACATTTCGTTACGGTTGTCGTTTGCATCGCGATGCCGACGTTTTAAGGGAAGTCTCAGACGGCGTATCGATCGGCCTCCGTTGTCGGTCGTTACAGGTGCGCACGTTTGTCAAACATGTGTCGAGCGGTATGCATGAATGAAGCAGGTAAATTTTCCTTTTCCGGATCGATCGCGCGAAAGAATGATTTGTAAGTGCAAGCAGTGTAGGAGAATATCTGGTTTTGTGTAATATATCGTGTATAACGGTTTAAATATGAGATTATTGTTACGAGTATGGAGAAAAATGTTTTTTCTAAAAATTGTAAAGTGTCACATTTCAATTTTTTGTTGTACGTTATATTTTATGTAATATATAAGTGTGATACGATATTTCTAGGAAATCATCTCGTCAAGTTATTAATTATAACGATGTGGTTTTGATATTATTGATAGATTCTAATGGAGACTATGCACAAATGTAGATTTATTATAATTAGAAAAATATTTAAGCATGGATATTTTATTTAAACGGATGTATGATTTATCTGAATATTACACTTATGTCGGATTAAACGGATAATGTAAAATGAATCGTGAAATGAGGCAAGTCTAATTTTATTCTTTTATTAAACAGATCGCAAATGGAGCGTGATAAATGTATAAACCATTATATCCAATAAGTTCCACTTGGATTAAATGTATCAGGATATCAGCGTAACTGATGTATGCACCTAATTTAATAATTTCTGAGAATCCAGTATTAATTTAGAAGATCTATTAACCTTGATTTAGCATTCTACATTCATTACAATTTCACTTCAAAGGAACATAGGAAGTGAAAGATACGGGAAATAAGATTTGCCTTCGAATTAAAATTAAGATTTCGTGACGTGAAGAATAATTTATATTTCTATAATACTACGTTTTAAATTTATTTTGAATTATTGAAATATTAGAATAGAATTTTGAAAATATTTGCACACTGATCTCCGTTCAAATTCATCATTGATTATAAAATACAAAATCGACACGGTTAAACGGAATAAAATTCATGCTCACAATTTTGACACTATATTTTATCATAAAATAAAGGAAATATACAACGCGACAAAGAATTGTGTCTACTATATCCCAATAATCACTGACATACCACGAACATACCAATGAATCTGATTGTTTCCATTAGAAAAGCTAATCGTTGTATGCAACTGAAATTTTCACATGCGCAGGAGCGCGTTTATTCGATATTTATGACGATTTAACCGTTGATAGGAATCGCTAATGTCACTAGATTCATAGAGTACGCGGTGGAAATGTAATGTATATACAGTAGAAGCATTCAACAGGTTGACGTCGCACAATAAAAACTTTTAAGCGGTCGATACCTCTTTGAACATCGTTATGTATGTTAAATAAGAACGGTATTGCCACATTGGATACAAAAACCTTGAGTTCAATCAAATCTTTGAAACGTATAATTTTGAAGATATAAAACAGAAAAAAAGGAAAAAAGATTCTGCAATGATCATCATCTAGATTCATACTAGATTCACGAATGACAAAAAGTATTTCTCGAAGAATTGAATCGATTTGAAATCCATATTAATATTGAAAACAAAAGAAACGCGCAATTTCGAATGACACCGTATATGTAATTTCATCGACCGATACGAATAAGAAGAAATTCATACTTTCAATTCGATAAACATCGACGAGTCGATCAGATCGATTTTCACGATCGAAAAGAAACTTATATTTTCAAGAGCTGGGTCATTCCCAAGAAAAAAAAAATATATGTGTATTATGTTTGTGTTATATCTGCAATATATAAAAAAATAGTAATTAATATACATTCTATATCAATCAATCGATTCCATTTATTCCATTCCATTCGATAACGATATTTTAACGATATATTATTAATTACGAATAAGATATCGATAAAATATCAATAATCGAAAAATTACATTTCTTGTACACTTCAATCGAGTGCATCGTTAACCATAATTCGACGAATCGATGGATGTATGGATCTGACAAGACTGATTTTTGCGATTGATAAGAAAATACAGAAGCAGTGATCTGAAATCTGAATTGAAATCTCGGTTCATCGAAAATTGAATTAGAGGACAGAAAAATGGGTTAGCGAGAGCAAATTATTTTTTAACTAATTACCTTTATCGAAATCATTTATTAAGTAATCAAAAAGAATTAATCATACGTAAATATTTGCATTTACCGTTAATACGCATTTTCTATTTAACAAATGTAAAATTCTTTGCGAAATTTTTCAAAGTATTAAATATATTCACGATACTTTTTTCGTATCTGATGCATCAAGTCAAGGTTAACCTAATCTAAATATCGAGAAGAGATTGAAAATTTTTTACGACATTTCCATGATTTTTTCGAATTAATTATTTCTAATGTAACTTATATTTCTTGTAACTACAGTGGGATACGTGAGATATTTCTTTGCCATAATGATCTGCATCGCGAACATGATTGTCTACGGGTTGAAGGTGAACATAGCCATAGCTGTCGTAGGCATGGTGAAGCATAAAGATGAAATATCAGACGCGTCTGACGAATGCGATTTCCACGATGTTGCCGTTACCATCGATATAGAGGGTCCCTTCGAATGGACTTCGACGCAACGAGGTTTAGTTGTCAGTTCTTATTTCGTCGGTTATTTAGTAGGCATGTTTCCATGCGGATATTTCGCGGATCGGTAAGTTAAAAGTCGAAAATAATTTGTATTAATCGAGTAAGCTTAAGCTTTCGAACCTCGTATCGGGGTCATTTTTCATTCAAATTCGAAAAATGGATCGAAAGTGACCCAGTATGGTTGAATACGATAAAATGGCTATACTCGAAAATTTCCATTAAATGTCACCAGTTCGTTTCTTCACAACAAAATATTTAATCGTATTCTATAATAAACATTACCCCTAAATTATTTCTATTATTATTTATTCCTATCTATTCTTGGAACTTCAAAATTCAATTATATCTTGAACGAATCTTTCGCTAAGAAAATTTCTTTACATATCAAAATCTTTAGATTTATATATCAATTTACGATATATTACAGTTTCAACACGAAGAACGCTCTGCTGATCTGCATATTGGGGAACGCGATTCTCACGATCATAGTGCCATTAGTGGCGCCTGTGTTGTGGATACTTTACTTTACGAGATTCTTGATGGGTGTTGTGAGCGCACCGAATCTTCCTATCGTTTCTATCCTTGTTGGGAAATGGATCGTTTACCAGGAGAAGAGTTTATGGTTCGGTATTATTTATTCCGGCCTATCGGTTGGCACCGTGATCGGTATCCTGACGTCAGGAATGATACTGCACGCCCTCGGATGGGAGGCGGTCTTTTACATACACGGTTTCCTTCCGTTAATCTGGTGCGTTGTATTCTATTTTTTCTTCGACGATAACCCGGAAACGCAATACTATATATCGGAGGAGGAGAGACACTATATCGTGACCTCGTACGGGCATCGTGGCGTTGAATCGAAGAAGATGAAAGTACCATGGAAATCCATTTTCACGTCGGTCCCGTTTATAGCCCTACTTTTGACCAATACATTCGGTACCTATGTTTGGTACTTCCTGCTCACGCTGTTACCTTTGTACATGAACAAGATTCTGAGATTTGATATTCAATCTGTGAGTTCATTTTTTCATTTTTAAAAAAAAAACTTCTTCTCTCGTTAATCTCACGAGCATTTAATTTCGATTTTAAATCTAAAAATAATTTATCGATTTGCGTAGATTTTTTAACAAAAATATTAAAAGTTATTATTTGACAAACAATGAAAATAAAAAAAATATTGTAATAAAAATGAAATATATATCATTAGTTAAAAGTAAACGTTAAAGTGTTGCATATAACCTTCTTCTTAATTACTTATATAGAATTATTTAATTAATAGCTTAATTGTAAGACTTGTCATTATCGATGTCGTTTTATAATTACCAGAACGCAGTTCTAAGTTGCCTGCCGTATCTCTTAAGCGCAATGGTGAATCCGATTTATGGAGAAATATTGGATTGGGGCAGACTGAGGAATTATTGGGATCAAACAATGGCGCGAAAGATCGCAATGTTCACAAGCAAGTTCTCTTTCTCTCTCTCTCTCTCTCTGTTATTCATCTTCTATATAATACTCTCTTCTACTTTTTTAATTCTATTGTATTATATCTAAAAATTTGTTGATTATAGAAAAATGTTCAACATATATATATATATTTCTTAATAATTTTCACAGGTTGCGTCCCACCGTGTATTTTTCTTCTTATTATCGCTTACATCGGTTGCTATCGGACGGTAGTCGTCGTATTATTGATGTTGAGCGTAATGTTTGCCGGTACAAATTTTCTCGGATTTCTTTGCAACCACAACGATTTGGCGCCAAACTATGCAGGAATTTTGATGGGTATAACGAATACTCCAGGGACACTTCCAGCCTTTATTTTGCCCGCCATAGTGGGCGCACTTACGGAAGATGGGGTAAGAGATGAAACCGGAAGTGTGCGAGAACCGGAAAATATCGGGTCGAGTCAGATCGAATAATCATAGATAGGAAGTAATAATATACGAATAAAAATTAGAGAAATTGGAAATGAAATTTTTATTAAAAATTACTTTCTTTTCGAATATGTATCTATAATTACGATTTGTCGATCATCAACTTCGAAAAAGAATTATTTAATTGTAATATTCAATTAGAAAAGATATTTCGGAAAGAGGTTACAATAACTTGATATTAATAAAATATAAGATAATTGAAATTCTGATTTTAATCCCATTGTGTCGAGATCTGAGATTTTGGAAATTAGAGTTGTAATATTCCTTTCAAGGATAAATTTCGAGTATTCGACAAAACTCGAGATACGATTCGAAATCTTACGTATCGTAAAATACTATCGAAAATCTAATTCGAATTGGAATACCCGAAATTTTCAGATTATCGCATATTTCTATGTAAGAACTCATTTCTTGAATTTTTTTTTTTTTTGTTCAATCACATCTCACGATTTATGTAACATTATGTCTTTTTTGTATCGGATTCTTTGCGCTCTAAATAATTTGAATCGATGTTCGTAATTAATTTCAAGGTGTCTTTTTTTTTTTAAATATATTAATACTTCTATCTGATATTGTTCTTCTCCATTACGTCAAAGACTTTCTGATAATTAACATGGTTTAATAATTAATTAATTAATCACGAATATATAAACTATTTCTTCATCTTTATTAATCCAATATATATTTATAAACGTAGCACACTATGGCACGATGGAGATACGCATTTTGGGTGCCTATTATTGCACAGATGATCGCGTTCATTGTATTCAGCATTTTTGGATCGGCAGAGATTCAAGAATGGAATTATGAGGGAATAAATGAAAATAATCGAATAAATCGAACCTAATTTTTAATGCCTATATTTTTGTCTTGATTCTATTATTGTATACCATTTAATGAAAAATGCATTTCTACTAATATTATTATTATATAAATTTTTCTGATTATTGTTCTCTTCGGATACGACAATTAATAAGATTTATTAGTAGTAATAATAAAATGTAAATTTATCGAATGTCGTATCTAAAAAAAAAAAAAAAAAAATACGCAAGATTGACAAATCTACAGGGGATGATATTGAAAGTATTATTCTTTTCTATTGTAATCTTTGAAACTTTTAATTATTTTATTCACATTATTGTTACGTATATGTATATGAAAAATAATAAATATTTATTTTAGTAAAAGTTTTCTTTTTTATTCTAATAAACGATATCGATAATATAAAATTATAGAAACTATCTTCATTGGATAACAGGAAATTTTATCTTTCTTTTACTATTAAAAATTTAAGCAATATTGTTCTATAAATAATTTTTGAGAATTAATATTTGATCGTATAGTTATACATTTATTCGTACACCTATGACCGATTATAATAAATTTAAATAAAATTAAAAAAAAAAAGGAGCCATTACAAGATTTTTCTTAGATTATTCTTTTCCAAAATTGCATACGTAATATTATCAAAATTGGAGAATCTTCGAAAAATAAAAATAAGAATTATTATACACAATTTTTCAACTCGTTAAAATCATGATCTTAATATTAATTATAATTCTTTTCCCAAATAATAAAATTTTATTTTCTATCGCGAGACGATCCGTAACGAAGATCGATTAATTAAATGGATGAATCTTATTCCAATTAGATCGTGAAGTTTGCGTTTGACAATCTGCGAAATTCTCACATGAAAAAAAAAAAAAAAACAAGTTCTTAAGAATATCATAACGATATATCATTAGATATCAATAAGATATCGATATTAATAATTGATAGTCACATCTTTAGTACACTTCAGTCGGTTTCATCGTTAACCATAATTCGATAAACGTCGACGAATCGGTGCATGTATGAGAACTGACAAGACCGATTTTCGCGATCAATAAGAAAATAGACATGCAACTCTATTCTACTGGATACTATGAGAAACGTAGGGCATATTAATGAGATAAATCAAAGAGATGGGTTAGCGAGAACAAATTTCTTTTAATATTTGCATCGAAATCGATTATTAAGTATTCAAAACAATTAATTTTAATACACTTATCTTTATTATTATACAATAATAATAAGAAGGTAAAAAAAGATTCTTCTTTTATTGTTTAATATAATTTTTACGTGAAAGTTTTTAAAAAAAAGTCCCCCTTTTTTTTTTTTTTGAGAATGATGTACAAATTAAAGTTAACCTAATTAAGGTATCAAAAGTAATTTTCAAGAAGAAATTAAAAACTTTTAACTCAACGATATTTTTCTCATTGAAACAAAATCTATCTACATACAATTTATATTTCTTGTAACACTAGTGGGATACGTGAGATATATATTTGCATTAATGATCTGCATCGCGAACATGATCATCTACGGGCTGAAAGTTAACATAACCGTAGCTATCGTAGGCATGATTAAATATAAAGATGATAGAAACGACGCGTCGGAGGAATGTGATTTTGAACCTATAGCCCAAATTATCGATATAGAGGGTCCGTTCAAATGGACTTCGACGCAACAAAGTTTTGTTATTAGTTCTTATTTCATCGGTTATTTAGTAGGCATGTTTCCATGCGGATATTTCGCAGATCGGTAAGTGAAAGTCGAAAATAATTAAATAATCGAGTAAGCTTAAGCTTCCAACTTCGTTCGAAGGTGTTTTATTTTTCATTCAAAAATATATTGTTTACGACATCAAAAAAAAAAAATGGATCAAAAGTGACCCGCATGGTTGAATACGGTGATAAAATGGCTATACTCGAAAAATAAAACGTTTATTTCAATTAAATAGTCACGAGTGCTATTACAGATATTTATTTCTCAAGTTACAATCCGTTTTTCGTTCGAGAAAAAAAAAAAAATATATTTTCATTTTCTCGTAAACATTATCCCTAAATTATTTCGATATTATTTATTCCTGTGCATTCTTGTAAGACACAAAATTCAATATATCTTGAATCGTTCGCGAAAAAAGAAAAAAATTTCTTTACTTTGTTTCAAAATCTTAGATTTATATACCGTTCAACTCGATAAACGTTCAAATTGATAAAAATATACGAAATATTATTAAGTAAACAATAGTTTGTAAAGCACGATATCTTACAGTTTCAACACGAAGACCGTTCTGCTGATCTGCGTATTGGGAAACGCGATTCTCACGATCATAGTGCCATTAGTGGCGCCCGTGTTGTGGATACTTTACCTTACGAGATTCGTGATGGGTGTTGTGAGCGCACCGAATCTTCCTATCGTTTCTATCCTTGTTGGGAAATGGATCGTTTACGAGGAGAAGAGTTTATGGTTCGGTATTATTTATTCCGGCATATCGATTGGCACGGTGATCTCTATCCTGACGTCCGGAATGATACTGCACGCCCTCGGATGGAAGGAGATCTTTTACATACACGGTTTCCTTCCGTTAATCTGGTGCTTTGTATTCTACATATTCTTCAGCGATAATCCGGAAACTCAAGTGTACATAACAAAGGAGGAGAGAGAGTACATCACAAGCTCGTACGGGCATCGTGGCCTTGAATCGATAGATATGAAGGTACCGTGGAAAGCCATTTTCACGTCGGTCCCATTTGTGGCCCTGATTTTCACCAATTTATTCGGAAATTTTGTCTGGTACTTCTTGCTCACGCAGCTACCATTGTACATGAACAAGATTCTGAGATTCGACATTCAGTCTGTGAGTCTATCATTAAAATTTTCTTACAATTTCTTCTCTTCATTTAGAAGCCATCCCATAAGAATTTTTTTCATTTTGTTTTTTGATTTGAAACTCGACTTTACAATAATTTATTAATAAATATTAATTGCTTATGGAATGACTTAATCATTGCTTTATAATTATATGATTCGTCAAATATCGAATGTCGTTTGGTAATTACCAGAACGCAGTTCTAAGTTGCTTGCCGTATCTCTTAAGCGCAATAGTGAATCCGATTTTGGGAGAAATACTGGATTGGGGCAGACTGAGGAATTATTGGGATCAGACAATGGCGCGAAAGATCGTAATGTTTTTAAGCAAGTTCTCTCTCTATGTCATACGTCCAACGTTATAATATACTTTCCTCTACTTTCTTTTTTTTTTTTTATATATATATATATGTTATTTGAAGTTTCTTAATCTTAACTTTCACAGGTAGCATCCCACCCTGCATTTCCCTCCTTATTATCGCTTATATCGGTTGCTATCGGACAGTAGTCGTCGTACTGTTGATATTGAGCATGACGTTTACCGGTACAAGTTTCGTCGGATTTCTTTGCAACCACAACGATTTGGCGCCAAATTATGCAGGAATTTTGATGGGTATAACGAATACTCCAGGAACACTTCCAGCCTTTATTTTCCCTGCTATAGTGAGCCTATTTACGCATGACGGGGTAAGAGATGAAACTCTTCATTTAAGAAATGTGCGAGAATCGGAAAATATCGAAAAAAAGAGAAAAAAATATTCAAATATTAAATTTAGTACGACACGTGGAAAACGACAGATATTATTGTAATAATTAATGTTCCTATCTCGTATAATTTTTTCCATTATATCTAGAGTTTTAATAATAATTATCACAAATAACGTAAGTTTTTTCTTTATCTTTTATTAATCTAATATATTTATAACGTAGCACACTATGGAACGATGGAAATATCCATTTTGGCTGGCTGTTATTGGACAGATGATTGGGTTCGTTGTGTTCACCGTCTTTGGATCGGCAGAGATTCAAGAATGGAATTACTATGGGGTAGAAACGGAAGAAAATTAGCAAACTGATTTGTAATATTGTATATTTCTGCATATTTATATTTCATAGTGAAAAATGTATTTTTATTAATAATATTATTATAGATTTTTCTTTCTTTGGATACGATAATAACTTTTAATTGTTTTTAAGTAGTAATATTTAATAGTAATATTTAATATTTGTAATTTTATCGTATCCAATGGAAAAGATTCGCTAGATTGATGGAATCTGCGAAGAATAATATTGGAATGATTGGTGGACTTTCCAGTTTTTCAATCGTAATTGTATTTGTATCAGATAAAATTTATAGCAATTATTTTATATATATATATATTATTGTTAAGTATATGTATACGTTTAAATATATTTCACGAAAAATAGTAAACGTTTATTCTATTAAAAGCACGATATTGATGATAAAAAAAAAAATTACAAAAACCATCTTTTATTAGATAACGGAAAAGATGAAAATTGAAACTTGATTTTGTGATTGATCGTATAGTTTTACATTTTTTTTTTATCTATCGCGATCAACTACGAAAAATTCAAATTAAGAAAAAAAATTACAAGATTAATAAAACGTCCCTTAGATTCTTTTATCAGTTAACTATCTATCAAAATTGAATAATGAAAAATAAAAATTATGATACAAAATTTTTCTTTTCTTTTCTGAAATCATTTTATCATGATAGGTCGACCAATTAAGGATCATCATTTGATATGAAAATCTTCCATGAAAAAGAAAAGAATCGCGGCCTCGACAACTTTCTATTGCCTTATACGTCAACGATATATGGTTAAGTGTCAATAACATATCGACAGGATATTAATAATCGATAGTCACTAACATCTCTAACACACTTCGGTCGTTAACGATAAACATCGACGAATCGGTGCATTTATGGAGACGACGAGACAGATTTTCGCAATCAAATAAGAAAATAAATGGTGCAATTGCCGTACTGCGAGAAACGATAGTGAACGATTAATGCGATAAATCGAAGAGGTCAAGGTTAGTGAGAACAAATTTCTTTTAACCATATTCGTATCTATTAAGCATTCGAAATAATTAATTTTAATCATTTCGTTTACCATATAATAACGATATATACTTTTTCCATTCGTAATTTAATGTAACTTCTGTGCGAAACTTGTTCAAAGTAAGTCTACGATATTTTTGTATCTTAAAAATGACGAGCTAATCAAGCTTAATCTGAACCTTAATTCCTTGAAAGGAAAGTAAAAACTTTTCGCGATATTTCTCTCAATGAAATATGGCTAACGTTTATATTTATTGTAATATAATTATTGCACACGTTGGTTAAGCATGAAGATGAAATATTCCTCGACAGAGAATTCCTACCAGAAACTATCGATAACTAAAAGATAGAATTCGAATAGTTTTTTGGTTGTTATGTACTTATATTTGTTGTGATTCGCGCAATATTTCGTAGAAAGTATTCGTGGAAAGTTTCAATCAGTTTTACGAAACTTCTCTGTTGTTGTTGATTATAAAAATGTATTGTATTTTTTTTCACAGGAAGCATCTCACCGAATATTTGTCTCCTATCGTTGCAATTTTAGCTTATACTGTTTGTGTATCAGGATATCTGCATCGATTTGGCACCAAAAACTACAGGAGAATTTTAATAGGTATTACAAATATTCCAGGAACTCTTCTAGCCTTTATTTTGTTATAATGGATGTACTTACGAAGATGGGATAAGAGATAAAATCGGAAATGTGCAAGAAATTATCGAATCAAATGCGCAAAAAATTATCGAATAATTGAGAGAGGAAATGAAATTTTTATAAAAGTTGCTCTCTTTTTGAATACGCTTTTTATAATTATGATAATTGCATGCATTATATTAAACTTTTATTTTTATCTTTATTTTTATCTTGTATAATACTATATAAATATATACATAATAGTAATAATACATGATGGAGATATTTTCATTTTGGCTGGTGCACAATCGATTGCATTTCTTATATTCGCCATCTTTGAAGTTGTAAGAGTGAAATTATGGGATACGAAACGAAGAAAATTAGTAAATTAATTTGTATTATTTGTTTTTTGTGTGTTTACGCTATTTTTTCGTATCCAGTGAGAAAGAAATTTTTCATAATAAAATTGATAGTTTAGTGACATCTATCCAAAGTGAAAGATTTTCTAGATTGACGAATCTAGACAAAATATTCGAAGTTATTTATATTTTATATTTTTCTATTGCAATTATATTGTTATGTACATTTAAATACGTACATTTTAACGAATGAATGAATTAAAGATTAATTGATTTATCACATCGAAATTATTGCATTTAAGAGATAAAAAGAAATCTCCAAGCTTCATTTTTTTTAAATATTTTTATTTAATTTTGAATATAAAAATTTGCCTAAAAAAATCTGTACGTTCTATTTTTGATTGAACAAGATCTCTGATAGACTGTTAATTACCACAATTTAAGTCACAATTACATTTACAACTTGTTAAAGAAAGGGAAATAAATATTTCACCTGATAATGAAATAATTTATCACGATTCTTACGTCGTTAAGTACGACGTGCATAAAAATAGATTGTTATATTCGTGTTATTATCGTAGCTTTAACGTTAATTGTTCAACGAACACGCGGCACTATCAGCGAGCGGCAATATTTTAACCTCATCTTTTGCGGTATCTGCATGTACATGCGATGCACTTAACAACATGCTAATGCACGTGTTAGTGGCATTTTAGATCGTAGTAGAGGCGGAGCAATAAATTCTCCTATGCGTGATTAATTTCTGCTTCGAGTAAAACGATAAAGCGAATGTATTAACTCTGAGAAATAAACTATACGATATTCGAAGCATTCAAATTTTCTTTATTGTAAGAATAATTAACAATAACATTTCTTGGAAATATCACGTCTCATAAAAATTCCCATTTTCTTTTTCTTTCTTTCTTTAATCCAATTTAATAAAAAAAAAAAAAAAAAAAATCTACGAGGAATCAACGAGGATATTCCATTATTAAAAATTCTCCACTTGCTGAAGGAATGGTCTATAAATCTTGCGTTAGCGATCTCACGCAACGATTCAACGATTTGTCGAAGGATAGGATCTGCATCTGAAAAAAGTCTGGCAGGATACAGGATCGCGATTTCAATGTTAATCGAGCATTTCACCGGTCCAAGCGAGCCACCCAAGTAGCGTGGCGAATGCGCAACACATGTTTCGAGTCGCGAGCAACAGACTGTTTCGCGCGTCGCGATTAATCTTACATGTGTTCCCCGAATTTCGTCTCGCACGCAATTCGAGGGATACACGGGCGGCCAGAAAAAGAGCGTGAGGTGAAACGTGCGAAAATTGACAATCATCATCAGGGGTAGAATGTGAAAAAAAGAAAAAAGAAAAAAAGAAATCATTTATCCGTGACAAAAGACCGGCCTAAATTTCTCTGAAGTGCATAAAAATGTGATTCATCTTCCCTCTTCTCTGATAATTTTTCGATTCGTCATAGCGTTTCGAACATGAAACGTGATCGACAAAGATATACCCACGAGTATTAATTAATATAACAATTATTCAAATTTTTTTCCCACTTGGAAAAAATTCTAATTATACTTGACCGGGCTCCAAACACCGATCAAGCATCATTCATAAGTCGCAAGCTTCTAATCCACGTTTAAATAACACGCGTTTGCTGTAACGCGATTCATCAAATTTATCGAATTTATATCGGGTGAGAAGAAAGTAAGAAGGGAAGAAGAAAAAATGGGGAATAATATTCCGTTGCCGTTTTAAGAATCCGGTTTTTTAAGCTCGTGTTATCAGGTTTTCAATTTATCTACATTAACTCCTCGGTTTGGAGGGCCGTTAACGACGTTTCCTTGAATTTAGACTAATTTACACAACGAAAGGATTACGGAGATTGTGTATTAATCGAGGTCAAGATAAAGCTTCGAGAGATTTCGAGCCGGGACCACCATCCATCAATGCTATGCCCAGGCGATTAATCAAACTCATTCGATCCACCTCGTCGCCACGACTACTTTTATTCCTTATTAATTACTTGGCTTGGCTAGAGGCTAGACGAGGCGAGCAACGCTATACACAACACTTGGTTGTTCCGGAAGGGGTTTCGCGTTAAATATGGGCGTATGGGGAAAGAGGTGCGTGGTTGTTGTTGCTTCTGAATATGGAGATCGTCGCCACCGGTGAAAGAGGAGGAAGAGCATAATTTGTCAAGTGTTAACGCCAACCTTCCAACTTGCCTGTACGTCATCGTATGACTCGTAAAGCTCAGCCCCCTCCCTCCTCCTCCCCCGATCGCTTCACCAAGGAGGCCATGGAACAGGCTCTTCTATTCCTTGAAAATCGCGATTAAACCGAGCATTCTGTCAGTGTAATGGAGTTTACTTCACGTTGCTTTAACAATGACGTTTAAACACGGTTTATTGTAACCAGAGAAAAAGGGCGAAAGAGATTTTGACACGTAATTTTTTTTAATTTTTATTGCGTATTTTAAAGTGCAAATGTGATAAATAATTTAACAATTTAAAATGGAACCGAGCAAGGATCGAAAGAACAAACCGAAAAGAAGGAATAAAATTATTTCTATTTTGAAGATTCATTTTCGAATAAATCAAGTTTCAGAATTGTTTAAATACAAAATTTTATCGGATAAATTTTTATTTTTCGAGAAAATCAAGTGAATATAGTAATAAAAGTACGTTGTATCAAATCAAAAGAATTATATAATTAGCAAATTTTAAAATTTTTCATATATATATACACGAACTCATTGAACTTGTCCATATTTTACAAATACTATTCAGACACTATTTCTCTTCGGTAAATTTCTCGAGCGATCGTAAGTATAAAGTATCGATTTCAAATGAACTCTACGAACTGTAAAAAAGTTAATCGATTCCCTTTTTTTTCGTGTCCCATTACGTACCGTCCCCATGGCCTCTTCTTATTAAGGAAGTCAGCTATGAAGCTATCCTACGGAATGCGAGGAAGAATTT